GATCTGCCCCCAGACAACCCACAGGACCATTATAACTCTATAAAAAAAAAAAACAAAAAAACAAAAACACTGCCCCCCATTCCCTATTCAAACAAAATGTACGTCCTTTTTTTCACACAAATAGAGCTTTCTTTTGGTGGTATTTGATTACTTGTGCGCTTTTTATTTTTCGCACAATAAACAAAAAAATACTGAAAATTTTGAAGAAAAACTATATTTTTTACTTTCGGCTATAAAAAAAATATATAGTAAACTCAAAGATAGTTATAAATTTAGGCCAAAATGTATTCTGCTACATGTGTTTGGTAAAATAAATCCCAATAAGTGTATATTGATTGCTTTGTGTGAAAGTTATAGCGTCTACAAACTATGGTATAGATACTATAATTTACGCCACTTTTTTTGCTATACAGCACTGAACTAGTTTAACTGACAATTGCGCAGTCATGCAATATGGTACATAAATTAAATTTACGTCCTTTTTTTCCCACACCTAGAGCTTTCTTTTGGTGGTATTTGATTACCTGGGAGCTTTTTATTTCTGGCACTATAAACAAAAGGTTTTGGAAAAAAAAACAATATATTTTCTCATTTCTATCATAAAAAATATTCAAAAAACTCAAATTTCGTAATAAATTTAGGCCAAACTATATTCTGCTACATGTTTTTGGTAAAAAAATCCCAATAAGTGTATATTGATTGCTTTGCGTAAAAGTTATAGCATCTACAAACTAAAGTTATACATAATGGAATTTACACAGCTTTTGCTTTCTGACTGCCCATCATTTCTTGAGGTGCTAAATTACCAGGACAGTACAAACACCCCCAAATGACCCCTTTTCGAAACGTAGACACCATAAGCTGAGAGGCATATTGAGTCCATGGAAGATTTATTGTTTTTCCACAAGTTTGTGGAATAAGTTGTCATTTAAATTATATATGTCTCACACAAGCTCTGGGTATATGTGGAATTACACCCCAAAATACATTCAGCTATGGGGATACCACGTGTGTGAGACTTTTTGGGAGCCTAGCCACATACAGGAGCCTGAAATCCAATGACCACTTTGAAAGCCTGAAGGTGCGCAACTTCCTCATTTCACTTCCTCACTACCTATCACAGTTTTGGAGGCCCTGAAATGTCAGGATAGCACCAACCCCCCCCCCCCCCCAAAATGACCCCTTTTTGGAAAGTAGACACCCCAAGGAATTTAAAGAAGAGGCATGGTGAGTATTTTCCAGATCTCATTTTTTCTTACAAGGTTTGGAAATATAAAAAAAGAAAAGAAAAAATATGATTTCGTTTTCTTTCTTCATTTTCCAAAAACAAAACTGTGATAGGTAGTCAGGAAGTGTAATGAGGAAATAAAGCCCTTTAAAAGCCTAGAGGTGCTTATTGGATTTTGGGGTCCTGTACTTGCCTAGACTGCCAAAAAGTCTCTCACATGTGGTACCCCATACTCGGGAGAAGTAGCAGAATGTATTTTGGGGAGTAATTCCACATATACCCATGGCATGTGTGAGCAATAAATCATTTAAGTGTCAATTTTGTGTAAAAAAAAATAAATTTTTTTGCCATTTTCCAAAACCTTGTGGTAAAAAAAAATAAATTCTTCTATTGACTCAACATGAATCTCAGCAAATAGTTTGGGGTGTCTACTTTCCAAAAAGGGGTCGTTTTGGGGGGTGGGGGCATTTTATGCCCAGCATAAGTTTATGCCACACATTATTCACTCTAACCACCTGAAGACTAAGCCTTTTCTGACACTTTTTGTTCACATGAAAAAAAATCTGTATTGTTTGCTAGGAAATTACTTTAAACCCCCAAACATTATATATTTTTTAAAGCAGACACCCTAGTGAATAAAATGGTGGGTGCTGCAATTTTGTATGTCACATAGTACTCGCGCAGCGATTTTTCAAACGCCATTTAAAAAAAAAAAATACACTTTAACTTTTACTGTATAAAAACACAAAATATTGGCCTATTATTTGATAAAATATAAAAGATGATGGTATGCCGAGTAAATAGATACCAAACATGACATGCTTTAAAACTGTGCATGCCCCGTACAAAGGCGACAAACTCGATCCATTTTTAATATCCACCGCTGTTTACATATCAATAAAGGATCAACGCTCGCGCGAGGGGGGGGCTGCGAGGGTGCTTTTTTTTCTTTTCATTTTGATCTTTTAAATTATTTTTACACTTTCCCTCTCATTTTATTTATTTTTTAATCACTTTCAATGTTGTCACCAAGATCGTTGTGATCAGATGCTTTCCCAATTTACAAATGGCGCCGTTTATATCCTGCGAAACTGAAGTGATGAAATGCTTGAAGCTTCCGATTTCTTAAGTCTATAGATTTGCTTGGCACCTTTCCGGGCTCCAATCAGCTCTATGGTCAGCTGGCAGAAACACCGGCTGCATTCTCAGATTCCCCCGATGGCACGGGACTGCTCGAAAAGGCCATGGAAGGCAGTGGGGGAGGGGAGGCTTCATCTCCCGCTGCTTGTAAAAGCAATCCTGCAGCTAATTAGCTACTAGGATTCCTTTTACATGAAAGCCGATCACTGGCTGAAATAAATGATACCAGGATGATGCCTGCAGCTGTAGGAATCATCCTGGTATAACCAAAGTCCAGTGATGTACCAGGACGTTGCTGGTCCTTGTTGGGTATATATGCTATGTTCTTTTTTTTTTTTTTGTATGCAGCCTGTGGGCTGAATGAAAAAAAAGAGAAGAAATCTCTGCCAGAAAAAGTGTGTGGTATGCACACCCACTTCTAATGGTGGGCACACATTAGGTCACACGGTGCCATATGCACCAATTCCAAGATTGTACAAATGTCTAAATGGCACGCTTGAATAAAAATTGTCCACGTATAAGTGGTACCCCGTATGGAAAAAGGATGACACCAAGTCCCAAACTATCTTGCCACTACTCCCCATGTAGTCTGAGCATCCGGGGGGCTCCACGTTGAGAATCTTTTCCCTTGTAAATCCAAAACTTATATGTATAGCCTGTTGCCCTCTCACAGGTCTTATACATCTTTACCCCATATCTGGCACGCTTGCTGGGGAGAAATTGTTTGAATGCAAGACGGCCAGAAGAATGATGGAATCATCAACGCAGATTTTTTGCTGGGGAGTATAGGCATCTGCACATTTTTGGTTAAGGTGATATGCGGGAGGGCCAAATTTTGTGGAGCCGGTCAAATTCAGGGTCACCCTGAGGACTACAGAGTGTATTGTCATTGAAATGCATAAAACACATTATACTCTCATATCTATGTCTGACCATAGCAGCAGAGAACACAGGCATATGATGAATCGGGTCTGTGGACCAATACGACCGTAATCCATTTTTTTTAGTAATGCCCATGTTGAGGGTTAGGCCTAAAAAAAATTTAAATTCGGAAACCGTTATGGGTTTCCATGCAAATGATCTGGCAAGGTTTGAATTTGGGATGGCGGCGATAAATTGTTGTGCATACTGTATAAATTGCTTTGATCCACAATCAATGCATACAAATCTTCCGTGAAAAACAGCTCAAAAAAATCAAGGAGAGTAGGTAAATTTGCGGTGGTTTCCACCTGAATTCTGGGTTGGGCCGTGAATGTGGGAAGTATGCGTGCTGCAGAATTTGTGGGCTGCCAATCAGGATTTGCAAGCACATCCGAAAGGATACTAGGGGCTCTACAGGCCTGGTTGCAGGACAATACTTGTGCTCGCCACCGCACGAGCTTGTACTGCACTTATGGGACTCGCCACATCACCAAGTGATACTACAGTGCTGGTATGTGAAAGACCAGGATGTACTAGGTCGCTGGTGCTCGTCAGTTCACCAAAAGATAGATCGGTACTAGTACTGGCACCCTGCTGCATATGGGAGTCATCAAAATTTACCGGCAAGTGCTAGCAGAGACCAGGCCTGATTCTGCAAACACTGCGGTTTTGTGTGCAATGTATCAAGTGACAGTGACCTACTGACACTGCACTCACTGGGGGAGACACTGCACTCAGTGGGGGAGATGGAGGGGGGGTAAGCGTAGGGGCTAAAACGCAGGTGCCGGCAGGTGCCAGGGCTGATCCAGCTAACGCTGTGTTTTTGGGGACACTATACTAACATGAATGCTGGTATAGTGCTGATCTGATCAAAGATATTGATCAGTTCACACTATACTAACAATGGAGCCCTCTGAAGAAGTGTTTGTACATGAAACGCGTCAGAGAGGTGCCCTTTTACCTATGTGTGCATATACCACAAGGCCATCCTGACTGGTGGCCTCACCTGCATCTATTTCTATTCCTGGTGGAATTATTATTATTATTATTACTACGAGTTTATATAGCGCCAAAGGGTTTGCTCAGCGCTGTACAATAGGGGGGACAAAACATGGCACAGTACAACAACAACAAACAATGTACGAGGGGTAAGAGGGCCCTACTCTTACGAGCTTACAATCTAGGAGACTAAGGATGCACCCAGACCGAGGACATCTAGTGGCTGACCTGTAGATGACATCTGCCTGGTTATTACAAGTCCAGAGCACCAGGAGCAGGTCTTAAATGCTCCATGCGCTATATGTGCGCTATCTGGTTAGTGCATCGTTTGTACATTTACAAGTGCACAAAAGTCACCATTATCTTTGACCGTGGATCGCTGTAACATCTACACTTAATCACCTCTACATTATTACTCTAAAGACTGAGCTAGCATATGTGTTTACATATGTTATTATACCACTTATGGTTTTGATTTATCTGATTGATCCATATGTACTTATTCATATTAGCGCTGCATTTTTATTTGTTTTAATGGAAGTTTATTGTGTATGAGCGTGTTCCTGGCAATCAAGGGGTTAAATGTGATTGCTGGTCTGATTAGGGGGAGGAGCCTAACTATGGCGGTGTAGGAGAGCGTGTGTGGTAGCTCTCCGTCCTTCCCCACCGCCTCGGATACAGATACTGGAGAGCAGGGACCGGGGGGACCTACCAGAGTATGGTGGGTTACGTGCTAAAACCGTGGTTCCGGGCGCTATGAGTAGGAAGTGAACGGTGCTGTCGGATTGAAGACAGGCTGGAGACCCGTCCTAGGGGAGAGAGAGCAGAGAGCAGGGTTGGCCGAGGAAACGAGGAGGCTCGGCTTGACCACGTGTCAGCCGCAGAGAACTACTGGGTAGGGGAAAAGCCGGCCGCTGTTTAGAGCTGAGAGGAGAGAGGAAGACGTCGGATTGCTCCCCTCCCAGTACATGAGACATTCTTATGGGAGAAGTATGCAGCAAGATGCCTCCCTCCCCCCCGGATGGAGGTGACTTTATTATAGAGGAATGAAAACGAAGAGACCCGGAGGAAACCCCCCCCACCCCTCCCTGAAGAGAGCTATGAAATGTGACAACCGAGGAACTTGCTAGAGCTGCAGCTGTGAAGGGTGAGTGAGAACAGCCTGGAAGGATTACTGTGATGCATAAATGACTGTTTCTGTTGTCTAAAGGCAAAGGAGGAGTTGTGAGAGGGGGTTTCCCTGGGGGGTCTGACGGAGAGAGAGGAGGGGATTAAAACCAGCCTGGAAGGAATACTAAGTAGAGAACTCGAAGAAGAAAAAAAAAAAAAAAAGGAGTCCCTGGTATATATTGTTATCAATCTTTGTGTTTCCCCTATTGAAGAAAAAAAAAAGAACGCATAGAAAAGATGAAAAATAAAAATGTTAAAAATAGTGGCCCAAAGGGGTCTCAAACTGGCACGATAAAAAAATATACATCTCAAGGAAATGTGACTCCAGATAGATCTCAAAGCGTTGGTGAAAAATGTGAAATGGAAATGAGTATAGAAGGTAGCCCTAGACTCTCCCTGGGAAAAGAATATAACAGTCAGCATTTACAGAAAAATTGGAGAGGAGAGATACTGAAAGTGAATTACAAATTCCAAACAAGAAAGAGATGGCAGATATATTCAAGAACTTAGAAAAAACATTAAAAACATGAAATGACAACTATACAAAATGATTTGGGCCGGATGCTATCGAGGGTGGAGGAGACAGAGGAAAGAGTTAAAAGCCATGCTCAATATATTTATGATCTGGAGAAAAGGACAATGGAAATTAAGAAAGATCAAAAAAAGCTGTTATATAGAATGGAAGTACAAGAGAAAAACAGGGAAAGGAGAAACAACATTAGGGTGAGAGGAGTTCCGGAATTGGTAAAAGGAGAAGAAACAAGAGGCCTTATCTGTAAAATATTAAACTCCATTATGGATAGATCAGAAACAGAAAAGATTAACCTGGAAGGTGTTTTCAGGATAGGAAAAAATCAACAAGGAAGTGGAAAAGAGAAACCAAGAGATATAATAGTCCAATTTCAGAAATGGGAGGATAAAGAAGAAGTATGGAGAAAGATCAAGGGAAGATCAAGTATTAATTATGGAGAAATGAATATACAGATTTTTGCAGATTTAACACCAGAGACATTGTGGAGGACAAGAACTCTAAAACCCCTGTTAGAGCAGATGATAAAGCAAAAGGTGCACTATAGATGGGGTATGCCGGAGTGCCTAATTGGATGGAAGAATGGAGTTACAGCCCAGTTGAGATTTCCTGAGGACTTAAGAAACGTCTGTGATAGACTTGAATTACAAAGGATGGAAGTCCCTGGTTGGGAGGTGGAAGAAGGTGGTTTGGGAGGTGGAGAGAGAGAGGAGTGGCAGTTTGCTAGAAGAGGGAGATAGAGAATTGAGGGAGGGCCCTGGGTGGGAGGGAGAGGAGAGAGAAAGAAGGGGAAAGAAATTTTTTTTTTTCTTTTTCTATCCTCTTATCCCGCTTGACGCCACCTCTCTCTCTCTCTTTTCTCCTTTGGGACCTTAAGAAAGGTGGAACATCTTGAATTGATGATGGAAATACTTTTGGGGTATCTGAGGTGGTGGGAGGTGTGGGGATCTGTCCATGGTTGGAGTTCAACCCCAAGGAGGTAATCTATGGTGGGTTTGGCCCCGCAAAAGATATATAGGCAAAACGTAAGCCTAAAGGATGGGAAGGGTGAGAGGGAGGGGAGAGGTGGACAGGGGGGTAGAGGGATAAGGGAGGGATGGAGGAAAGATAAGAGGCTGTATAGTTTGGAGGAAGAGAAGAGTATTTGGGGCAGAGAGAGAGAGGATAAGATAGAGAGAAGGGAAAAAAGATGTAAAGGAAATGAAAGATCTAAGATTTATAACTTATAATGTAAATGGGTTGTGCTGTCCAGGGAAAAGATTTAAATTATATAAGGAACTACAACATAGAGCAGTATCAGTGGCTTTCCTACAGGAAACGCATTTTGAACTAAAGTCAAATGTAAAGTTGATTTCTAGATATTACCCGTTATGGTACTATGCAGATTCCCCAGTTAAGAGAGCAAAGGGGGGTAGCTATAGGATTTGCAAAAGATATAAGGTTTGAGTTGGAAGAGAGAGAGACAGACCGACCCGGATGGGAGGTTTTTATTTCTAAGAGGTAAAATAGAAGACATTGAATGTACAGTTGCTAATATTTATTGTCCTAATAAGAAGCCGGAAAGATTCTTGAAAAGAATTTTAAAAAGATTGATGGATGTTAGAAAGGGGTATTTGATAGTAGCTGGGGACCTCAATTTATGTATGGACCCACAAATGGATACTACTTCATCTATACAAAGAGAAGGTAGTAAGTCCCTAAGAGTACTAAAAAAGAGATAAGGGAGTATCAGTTAGTGGATGGTTGGAGAATTATGCACATGAACGATAGAGACTATTCCTTCTTCTCAAGGGCCCATGAGATGTATTCTAGAATGGATTACATACTGATAGATCACCGATTAATAAGAGTCTTTGGTTAGAGTGACAATAGAGGTAAGGTCACTCTCAGACCATGCCCCAGTTGTAATGAAAATAGGATGGGGAAGAAAGCCTCCAGGTGGTTTGATGTGGCGGTTGAATGAGTCTCTCCTAATGGATCCAGAGACTGAGCGAAAGGTTGGAGAGGAAATTAAGAGATATTTTGAGGAAAATGAAACGGGAGAGATATCTGAGGCTACAGTGTGGGAGGCCCATAAGGTCTACATAAGGGGAATTCTTATTGCAATTGGGGCTAGAAAGAAAAGGGAAAGGAGAGAGAAGATCAGTAGGCTCCTAAAAGAACTGGCGGATGTTGAACAATTGTATAAAAAGAATATAACGAAAGAGATAATGCACAAGGTAAAGGAAAAGAAAGAGGAATTAGAGATTATGATGGAGGAGGAGAAGAAGAGAGTCTTTAACAAAGTATTATGCAAAAGATATAGATGGGGTGATAAATCAGGAAAGTTTTTGATGAGAGCTTTGAGGAAAAAGAAAAAATAGGAATTACATAGAGAAAATAAAAAACCCCAAGGGAGAACTGGTGCACTCAACTAAAGATATTGCGAAGGTGTTTAGGGATTATTATAGCAAACTTTATAATATTGCCCCTCAAGATTCAACATGTAAAGATGGAATAATAAACATAGAAAAAAGAAGAATATATTTAAAAAACGCAGGACTACCGAAATTAAATGAAGATCTTTTGAATTCCTTAGAATCTGAAGTTACCTATGAAGAAATAAAGATAGCATTAAAAAAATCTATGATAGGTAAAAGCCCAGGACCAGATGGATATACTGTTAGATATTATAAAAAATATAGTGAACTGTTAATGCCTAAATTGAAGTCCTATTTTAACGCCTTGGGAGAAGAGATGGATATGAGACGAGAATCACTGCAGGCTCAGGCGGTCCTCATATACAAGGAAGGAAAAAGATCCCACCCAATGTTCAAGCTATAGACCAATATCTTTGCTGAATATAGATACGAAGATTTATGCAAAGATTTTGGCAAATAGAAAGATTTAATGCCCGAATGGATACATGAAGATTAGGTGGGTTTTGTTCAGGGCGAGAGGGTAGAGATAATGGGTTGAGATCACTGTTGCTTATCCAGAAAAGTAGAAAGGGAAGGTCGCCAGCGGTGGCTCTTTCAGTGGATGCAGAGAAGGCATTTGATAGAGTCAAATGGGGATATATGATGGACACATTGGAGACCTTAGGAGTGGGCGATAGAATGAGAACTTGGATAGGAAAGTTATATAAGAACCCCTCTACAGTGGTAATGGTAAATGGGGAGCGATCGGAATCTTTTGAGATGACAAATGGAACAAGACAGGGCTGCCCACTGTCCCCATTGTTATATGTTCTATCCTTGGAATCATTATTAGCAACAATAAGGAAAAATGTAGACATAAAAGGAATACGGGTGGGAAATATAGAACATAAGGTTGCCGCATTTGCAGATGATTTACTGTTTTATGTAGAAAATCCTAGGATAACGCTCCCTAATTTAATGAGGGCTTTGAAGGAATATGGAGAGATGTCAAACTTAAAAATTAACCCGTCTAAAACAGAGATATTAAATATAAACCTTTCAAATAAAGAAAAAAGGGGGATACAAGGGGAGTTTCCCTTTGTGTGGAGAGAGAGAGAATTGAAGTATTTAGGGGTAAAACTCACTTCGGCCTATAAAAACTTGTATCAAGCAAATTATATAGTAATGTTAAATGAAATTAGAGAGGAACTAAAGAGATTAGGGGGAGTAAATCGGTCCTGGTTGGGACGTATAAATTTGATAAAAAATGGTTGTAGTTCCCAAAATCCTATATAAATTTCAAATGGTCCCTATTAAGTTGCCTGAGGTATATTTTAAGATACTGAAAAAGATGATGACAAGATTTATATTTGGAGTAATAAAAAATCTAGAGTTTCTTATGAAGTGATAACTAGAAATAAAGAGAATGGCGGACTGGGAGTCCCTGACTGGACATATAATGCAAAAGGGAAAAGCTGGGTCAGAGTGGAAAATTCACTTCGTGGTAATGATTTAAGTAGGAGTATATGGGTGCCTACAGAGTATAGAGGATTAAAAGAAAGCACGAGTGTGTATACTTTAAATGTGTTAAGAGTGTGGGATAAAATGCACAGACAGTTAAAGTGGGAATTTAATTCACTATTGATGCCATTGAAAAATTCAGGGTTCTTCCCACCAG